GGAATGAAGGTTTGAGAGAGCTAGAAAGATGGAAGATTATAGCCAGATTAGCTTCTAAGATTTTAAATGTGTAGCAGTTCTCAGGACAACTTTTGGGGTGAGGCTGTGGGTGTGGGAGGCCAGTGTTGAGTGGAGATGAAATGAAGGTTGCTAGAGTTGAGTCTACTGCGTGCTAGGCTTCCTTAGGCATTGGGTACATAAGAGCCTCAAAACAAAATCCAAAGCTCAAAAACCCACCATGGTATTTTTCTTATTGTTTTCAACTTCATTTCCCAATGATGCTGTTTATTAACCTCCTACCTCTGCCACATTCTTTTCCTTAAATTCTGTTTAGGCCTACTCTCTACCTTTCCTTTTTGCCTGTCTAAATCCTGTCCATCCTGTAGGCCTCAACTCTTGGAAGTCCTTTCCAATCACCTCCTTGTCAACTGCCCCCATCTTCCACCGGCGTGTGTTGCCTGTCTGTCCCCTAGACACGTAGAGTCATGTGACCTTTCTTTGTCTGTGCTGCCATTGTGTTTTATCCTTCCTCCCACAGATCTTATTTTCCCAGCTAGACATAAGCACCTGGAATGCATAACAATTCTTCATATATCTTCATAATATCATGTCCCAGTGAAGTCTGTTAGGGAAACCATGGGAAAAATATTTGATAACAGAAAATTGTGAGAATTTCTTTGCATTTATAGCTTCCACAGTATTATATGGTGCTAATACGTAGCTGATTAAGAAATTAACCATTTCACTACTTTGTTTATAAAGTGTTTGTCTTGCCTGTTATTATAGTAAGAAACTGATGGAGAGAGACATACTAGACCTCTAAATGTCATAGTTACCATATTCAAGGCAAATCGTTTTTTTTTTTTTTTGTCTGAAATAATAGCAGTATACTTCCTAAATTTCCATGCCTTGTTTTCTGGCCATTGCTTTGTCTTATCATGTGAACTTTCACAATGATTGATATATAATGAACATCATCATTCAACATGGTTGAATAGTAGTTCCTTTTGCTCATTTGCATTTTTGGAGAATGCAAATTATAGATTTTTTAAAAAATTAAATCACGTTCAAAGAGTATTGAGCACAAGATAACCTTTGTTGATTAAAAGGTGCCTTAAGTTCTTACGAGCCATAATTATCAACAATTATTATTGTATCCCAGATGTATGGAAGTTAATGGATAGTTTTGCTCAGTAAAATACAGGACTAGCAGAGGGTTTGTTATAATAGGCAATCTGGAGAGTAGCCAGGTGAGTGGGATTTGGGATTTCCTGCCATTACCAGGAAGCAGCATAGAGATAACAGCAAATGGTGAGACCCAGATAGCTAAACAACCATGGCCATTTTGATTTCCTCATTTGTAGCATTTTTGAAACTTATTTATTCATTCAGCAAATGTTTATTCAGTGCCTGATCTGTTGTATTGGAGGCTAGAGAAAATTACAAAGGGAATAACCCAAGCATGGTCATCCACCCTCATGATGTTCACCTTGTCTTCACCACCCAGTTGAGCATACAATTTCTTGGCACCTATCTCCCTTGCATTTTGCATGTTAATTTTATCTGATCATTAAGTACTTCCTGATTGATTGATATGATCACAAATATATGTTTATGGCAGTTTTGTTTATATTTTTTATAATTAGATATTCCTTGCACACCTGATTTGTCCCCCGGGAAAATACAGAAAATACTTGAAAATCTGAAAAGAGTACCATAATTTCTCAATTAACTAAAGATACAGCTATTTGAGAAACAACCTGATAAAATAATTTGAGCCTGTGGCTGAAAGATCAGACGTAGAGATAATTCGAGAGCATCCTCCAGCAAACTGAGAATTCAGAGAGATGAATCCACTCGGTCTGTGCTAGGTTTGTTCACATGGACTATTTACTCTTCCAGTTCCTTTATCTCCCTGCCATTCCTAGCTTAGTCCCAAGCTCTGGGGATTTGAACTAAATTACTTCTTCTTAAAGTCACTTCAAAATGATTCATTTTGAGTACCAACCTGTCTCTCAATTTATTTGCACATACCCACACTCACCCTTTGGCTTGTCCTTGTGGGAAGGGACGTTTTAAATGTCAGTTCTGAGCCTTTGAAATGCAAAAATACACTGTTGGTAAAAAGGAGCGACATTCTGAGGAGAAAAAGTAGCTATGCTCCTTTTTTCTTTTCTTTATGCTGTCAGTACTGAGGGTCTGTGGGAAAGAATAGGTGTTGAATTCAGAGTGTTGAGTTGCCTAAGGTGTACTTGGGCTATACTTAGAAGTCAGATCGATGGTGCCATCTTTTTTTTTTTGCTGAGGAAGATTTGCCCTGAGCTTACATCTGTGCCAGTCTTCCTGTATTTTGTATGTGGGTCGCTGCCACAGAATGGCTGCCAATGAGTGGTGTAGGTCTGCGCCAGGGAAGTGAACCTGGGCCACTGAAGCAGAGCGTGTCAAACTTAACCACTAGGCCATGGGAGCACTCTCCAGAATGTGCCTTCTTTTTAAGGTCAGAGTCGCCATTTAAAAAAAAGAGAATTGGATTAATTGGCAGATAAATTGAGTTTCCATATTCAGGAACCCTTAAAGACTTTTACCTGTAGGCTCTGCTGTTTGGATGTTGGAGTGAAGCTTTACATATATTTATTTTTTGATTCCTTCAGTAGAGCTATAAAGATGTCTTCTGACCAAGTTACACTGGCAAGAAGATTAATATGTTACCAGTTGAATTCACATATGGTCATTGCCCAGGAGTGACAAAAATGTCCAATTAGTATGATTTATTTCTGCTTTTTAATTTGTAAAATAAATATTCTCTTTAGTATCTTGCTTTAGAGATGGATTCATTTCTTTAACTGATACCATACATCTATATTTTAAAAACAAGTATTTTTTTTTTACTGCAAAATGGTATCATACCATTTAATTTTAGGTTTACTTTAAAAATTATTTTGGCTGTTCTTTAGTCCCTCTGTTTCCTAGAAGTACCTAAAATTGCTGTTTTTCTTTTGCGGTTTTTGAGATCGTATCATCTTACCTTAGATTCTCTGAAAAACTTTGTATGCCTTAGTGATTTTTGTTGGGGGAAAAGTGTGCATTTCAGGACACAGTTCTCCAGGGATAACGGATGTCATCCAAATATAAAGAATAGTAAGAATGTACAATGACCCGAGGAAGTTTGAACACAAAGGGCGAGAGAATGGTGGTCACATTTTCTTTGCTGTGTATTTTGGTGGATTTTCTACTATAGATGAACTTATTTGCGTTTCTCCTTTTCTCTTCAGTTATAAGAAGTCACTTGGTGACCAGAGCAGATAGGAAGACTCTTAGGGCTCGTTTAGCTTTCAACAGTTAGTTCTACAGGTCATTTTGGGTCCTGAAGCCTAAAATCTTTGTTTGAAAGGTGGTAGAGTGAAAATTTGGAGAGAAAGGAAAAACATGAATTGAAGATTTCAAAAAAAAAAGGAAGTTGCTTTAACAGCATCAAGTTTGGATTGGAAGAGAGGAAGGCAAGAGCATTTCAAGAACACTAATGAATAGATGGCTTGGATCTTACACTTGGGAGTGAAAATTGGGAAGAAAAGAATTTGTGTGCTTAAATATTATTTCCTCAAGAGGACATTCCCATCTTAGACCAGGTCAAGTGTGCCTCTTCTCCTTTCTCATTGCCCTAGCTTCCTGTTCCTTCCAGGCAGCTATTGCACTAGTAAATGTAATTATTACGTGACAGTCTGTCTCTCCCTGTTATTCTTTTCTTCATTGGTATTCCCAGTAAGCATCATGGAGCATGGCATGTGGGCTCCATGTGTTAAAAATACAATGAAACAAAAATGTTGGAAAGACAGACAATTAGAAAAATGAAAAATAAATGGTGAGCACATAATCATGTGAAAACAAAAGAATACAACTTTTGTTATGGTTCCCCAGATGAAGAACAGACAATAGAAATGAAAAATAAGATGGCTTGTTTTCAGCTCCAGGATGGTGGTGTATTGTCTTCATACAGATGAAACATTCAGTTAAAAACACTTTGTTTTTAATTCTACTGTTTTCAAAACACTTTTGTACCTGATATCTTGTTTTTACCTTACTCTACTGAAGGTGATATGAGTAGAAATTTATAATTGGTTTATTGATTAAAACATAAAAAGAATGAGTATGAAATGAAATAAACTCCTTGATTTTTGACTCCTTAACTGACTCTCTTCTGCCTATTTTACTTAATATCTGTGCTTTTCTCACTTGAGAGGTCAGTGAAAGGAAACCCTTGAACGTCTGCTATAGCTATTCAGTAAGAAGTTCTCAGTGAAGAGTAGCGCTTAATCCAACTATTAAAAGTTGCTGTCTTTATCAAAGCCAAAGTTGATTTTGCTCCCTGAAGCTCCCAAAGAAGAAAATGCCTGGTGAAGAGGTAAGATAGAGTTCTTTGTGGTATAATAAAAGCTTCCAGAAATGGTGTGTCAGGATGCAGTGTGTAAGTCAGGGCACCTGTGATTAGAGAGAAGCTAAAACCAACTTCAGGAGTTGTGGCACTAGTCAAACCGTGAGCTCCCTTTTCCATTTTCCTCCCCACAGCTATCACTCGGTACAAGTTAGACTTGGTTTAGGAGGTGCCACTTATAGTTTATTTGGAATACTTTTGTCATTTATTCTGGCTGAAAAATGGTTTAATTTGGCTTGTTCAGTGTATTATCAAATAATTTTTAATTAAAAAATTAAAAAGCAAACGATGGAAGGGAGGGCGTGTTTCACCTAGGCTTGAAAATTAGACTGGCCTGTTTTTTTAGTGAATGTGGAAAATGTAACCTGTCTGATTACAGAATTATCACAGAATTGGGTGAGATAAAGATCCCGGAAAAGCTGGGAAGTTGATGCAGTGGAAAATCTATTGGCCCTGGAGTCAAACGATCTGAATTTGAGTCCAAGTTCTTCTTATCGAGTGACCTTAGGAATGTCATTTAAATTATTTAAGCCTCAGTTGCCTTATTTGTAAAGGGAATAAAAACACCTACTTCAAAGGATAGAAGGTAATATTTATAAAAGCACTTTCCAAATTTCAAATAGTTAAACACATACAAGGTGTTTATTAAATGAGGAAGGCATGGTAATACATGCAAACCTTGGAATGATGTCAGTAAACAAGAGCTAAACTGTGGTCTTAATTTGTAGAGTTACAGCTATAGAAATATCTCGGCGTCAGCTCTAGGCAGCCACATCTCAGATGCTATTTGAGTTGAAGGAGTCAGTTTGAACCACCGCGAGACCTCCGTGTATGGCTTCTTGACTTTGCAGCAAGTCTGAGAGACCTGGTTTGGCTTCCTGCCTTGCAGTTTTCACTGTCAGGAGGTAGATTGTCTGTCTGGCCTGATGTTTAGAAGAGTAGCTTCTTGTCCCCTTCTGAGCTACACGTTGCCTATGCAATTAGTTTGCATTCCATTCTTCTGGCAAAGTGTGGCCAGATATTTTCTACATTAGACCATCTGCTCCTCCACAGCCTTCCGTGCAGTATAGCGGGTCTAAAACCAAGGGGCTTGTCTTATAGTCATTATGATTTTTTCAGGAATAGTTCTCACAGCGGAAAGAAGAGTACTTGTTTTGGAGATTGTAGGTGTGATATATTTATTCATGTGTATTCCAAGGCAAGTGTTTATTTTCCAAAACCACTTCTTGCTCCTCCCCTCTTGCCCTTTAAGTTTCTAGGAATGAAGAGTTGATTTGACCAGTGCTAAACTATATAGGAAAATGTTCTAAAAACTCACAAAGTACCCTTTAATACATGTGATTTAATGCAAAGATCAGTTTACTCGTACAGATTACATATGAAAGATATTAATTATGCATTGTTTTAAAGAAATAGCTTAGATTGAGTGTGATAGAGTTAGTTATTTTAGAAAATATGTATTTCCTGAGCCTTGTCTCCAACTGATGAAGAATTATGAGTCTCTTTCGAGGCCTTGAATGTTTACTACCAAGTCATGTAACTTTATGATTATTAGTAATTAATTAGTTGCTAAATTTCCTTTTCCATCTTTGAATTCTTTTAGTGAGATCAGGGTTATAAAATGAAGCTTATTTTATTTCACCCATTTATCTGTAAGAGGAAGCTGGATGACCAAATATAAGGGAGTTGTTACTGCTGGGCTTTTAAATATGGTTTACAGAGCAGCTGGGCTTTGACTGTTGATGGCCTGATTTGAGAATTATCGCACACTTACTGTGTGAGCCTGTCCAAGTGGGAAATGGTTTGCTATTTCATAACACTTAGTATAAACAATGAATTCATTGGTCTAAGAAGATGGATTCAACCTGCCTTTTGCCATTGGTTTATCAGTTATGGCCTTTTTGTAACTAAAAGGATAATAATTAGTTAGAAATACATGGTATTGTGCCATTCTTCTAATAGAGACTTCTTTAGCATTGGGAGCAGATGGTTCCAGGGGAAGTGACTTTCAGACCCTAAAAGAGAAATAGGTTATAGTGTTCTGTCCCCTCATTTTTCTAAATATAAGTATTTTTTTTCTACAGAAAGAGAAATTGGAAGATCTTACAGTTCTGTGGTCGTGATTGGCTTCAGAGGTCTTTTCAAAGAGAGAGGATGGAGAGTTTCCAGCACTGAAAAAAGGCAGGGGAAGCCATTATACATGTGGAATTTTCTGCTTTTGGTGCAGGTAGAAGCTCTCTTTGAAGGCTTGCCATTTTTCTACAAAAAATCTTCTCAGGGAGAAGTGGTGCCAAGGACAGTCACCAATATCATGACAAGTGATCTCCAGTGTTTCAGAGTGATCAGTGGGGCCTTATTTACAAGGGCACGAGCACCAGCCCAGACAGTAGTCAGGTGCTTGTGAGGTGCAGCAAGAAGTGGAGAACTGAGGGAGGTGGGCCCAGAGCACGGCTCTTGAGGGCTCAAGGATAAACCTCAAGTGTCTTAGGAAGATGTTTCCTGCTCTGCTCAGTCATTCACTCATTCAACAAATAGCTACTGAGATCTACGACTTGCCAGCCACTCTCTTAGGTGAGGACTTCAGCAGCGTGAAAACAGTGTGCACCCTCATGGAGTTTTATGTTTGAGTGGGGAAGGCAGACAATGAACTAACAGGCAAATAAGTGTGTAGATAATGGTCACGTAATGATCTGTGCTTCGAAGAAAACCAAACTGAGATCAGGAGAGAGAGATTGATCAGTCTGCTGCCTCAGGCTGGCTTGTCAGGAAGGCCTTCCCCTCATTTCTTCGTTCTTCCGTGCATCTGCTCAGCTATTAGTTTAGTGAAATTTATTATCATTCTTAAGACAGATGTGGTTTCTGCTTTCAGGGAGTCATGTGTGTGAGTTCTTTGGAAGTTAGAACTCATTTTCCGATACAAAAAAATGTTAAACAAATGAAGTTAAGATTCCTAACTGGCTCACAAAAATCCCCTTTAACCTCATGTTAAAACTTCACTTGGTACTAATGATGGAAGGCTGCCTTCTGGTTCTTGGGAGAAGGAAGAAACCAAGGCATAGGAAGGAAAAGAAGGAGAGGACTTCCCCCTCTTTCCTGGAGACCTGGTGGCCCTCTTGTGAGCCGAGTTTTAAATTGACTGGTTTTGGTTTCTCATTTTTCAATCAGATTTTCAGTCCGCCAGACTTTCCTTATTTCCCCACCCTGCCCTTTTTATCCTCACTCGGCCTGCTCTACTCTTAGAAGATGTTCTGTGGTGTTCCAGAATTTTCTCCCTCAGGTACCATGTGAGGAGGGCAGTTGGATTGCACGACTTCCCAACTTCCTGTAAGTGTATGGATGAGGCATAATGTGAGCACAACCCCAGCCTGAACCAAGGAATCTGCATTTTCTAAAGAGGATGCTTTCGTCACTAATTGCTGGGGTTTTAAGCTGCCTAACAAAGCTGAGTGAAGGCACTTACTGAGTGGAGTGTAGAGGAACTCCTGTGGGCGGGAGGCCCCCGGGTCTCGAAGGCCAGCACTTCTTTTCTGTGGCCTGTGAGGTACAGTACGCAGCCCTGGTTTTCTCTCTTTTCTCTTCCTCCTGTGAAAAGACTGGAGTTTCTTCTCTGATGGCTCCCATGCCAGCAAGGGAAGAGAGACAGAGCAGGGACAGAGGCATTTTTATTTTCTGCCTTTTATAAGATGGACATTTGTAGGTTAAGGGGGGTGAGGTGTGGGTAGAGTTGGTCCTCCTGAAGCAGGTAGTCTGACCTGCCACTGTGTGTGGGTGGGGAGCCAGTGACAGTGACAATAACAATGATCATATTAGAGATGGTGTTTTGTGCCTGTCTAATATGCTAGATATTTCACATGCATGCATGATTCCATTCAGTCTTTACCACGGTCCTGCAGGGTGTGTAAATAAGACCATCCCCAGAGAAAGAAGGCTGAGAGGTTGAGTAATCTGCCCGAGATAACACGACTAGTAGTGGAGTCGGGATTCAAAGTTGGGTTGATTTGATCCTGAAGTCTCTTTTCTCCTCACTCTCATTATCTCAAAAATAAGTGAGTGATGATTCCAGAGAAACTAGTCCCTTGTTGGACTTGAGCTTTCTTACCTCAGGATCAGTAAGCGGCTCCTGGTGTCCTGTGTGCCAAGGCAAATGGAGAAGGAGGAAAGGAAAGACTGGCAGCTTGGGTTCTTGGTGAGCAGTTTTTCTCTGGTCGGCTCCCCATTGGCTCAGAGGTGTACGCGGCGGTCCGTTCCTCCCTCAGGCCGCGAGACTCCAGCAGGCCTCTTGGGCCCTCTGCGCAGACTCTGTCCTGAACTTGTCCGTCTCTCGCTTTTGAGTATTTAAAGTAGAAACATGGAACAGGGAATTAATGCATTGAGCTGACAAGCCAGTGGGTCCTTCTCCTGCTCGCTATTAACAGGGCCTCCTGCTGCAGATTTTGGATGAAGTTTTATCTATTATTCACACCCTTTAGCTGTTTGTATCTCTTACTCCATGGGGACACTCAGTGATTGTTTGCTTTTAGTCCTCAAAGCACCTAATGAGAAACCTGTGGTTTTTGTGTCTTTGTTCTGCTTAGGGCACCCAACGATCTTTGGTTGTGGTTGTATTACCAGTTATTCAGGTATTTGAACAACTGCCTGCATTAACTGTTTTTGAGGGGGATGGGGAATGGGCGGTGGTGCCTGGGTTGCTGTATTTGGAATGTAAAATGATCTGCTTGGCTCAAGTGCAAAACTCCTTGTAGACTTGGCAAAAGGATTTGTCTTTGACTGTATAGGCTGGAGCTGCTTTTTGGTTTTCCAGTAGTTTCCAATTGGCCAGTTTCAACTTTCTTTCTTCCCTCTGTGATGTGAGGGACTGGGTGCAGCATTCTTTCTACTGGGTCATCCTTCATCCAGGTGCATATGTTTAGTGAAGCCCAACGCTGAAGGAATACAATGGTTCCATTACAATGGGTTTACATACAGTTTATGGCATATCCTCTATTACCGAAGATGATTCTTCCACAAGTGTACTTTTGTGTCAGAAACTTCATCACCAGTGAAGGCAGTGGAATGTAGCATAAAGAGCAGGAATCTCGAGGACCTTGTATGGTCTTATTTCTGTCAATGACTACAAATGTGACCTTTGATAAGTTCCTCTATTTTGTGTGTCTTAGTTTCCTAGCTTATTAAGTAAAGCTATTATTAAGATGGCCTTTCAGGTTGACAGCCAGGTCTCATATTCTGTATTCCAAGGAAGAAATAAAATAGGATAGAGAGAAATGCAGTCTAGGAATGAATAAGACTGACTTGTTAAAAATACATCATGAAATATGGAAACAAGAGCAAAACATGGAGTTACACCTGTAGATCCCAGATTGTATTGAGATCTGGTAGAACGGTATGGATTTTGGGATCCACTGCTATAATTTGCCTTAAAATGCTTCATGATGACAGTATTATATTATGTTTGTGTTAGTTTAAGCCTTCTCTTCTCCACCTCCAAGTGGTGAAATGTCTGTCTCAGGGCGCAATTGTTGGCCTTCTCTTCTCTTTATCCCCATTTACGGGGTTATTTCATCTAGTCTGATGGCCTCAAGTCCTACTGACTTAATTAAATATTATCTATATGGTGATGGCTCCCAATTTAAATTTTTGCCTCGGCCTCTTCCCTGAGCTCCAGGCTTGTATATCGAACAGTATAGTTAACATCCGCTCTTGAATGCTTTTAGGCATCTCAAACTTAACGTGTCCAAAACTGAACTCTTGATTTCTCTTCCCTGCGTGTGTCTCCCACTATCTTCTTGATCTCAGTAAATGGCACTGACATTCCTCCAGTTGCTTGAGTTAACACTGGTGTTATGCTTGACTTCTCTTTTTCACTTCATCCTATAATCAATGAGTGCTATCAACTCTGTCTTTCAGTGGATCCCCACTCTGACTCATTCTCCTCATCTTTACCACCTCCTTGTGCTTGTCACTGCCACTCTCACCTGCCAGTCTACCAGCTAGCTGGTCTCTGCTTCTGCCCTTGTCTCTGGTCTCTTTTCTTCTCCACAATCTGGAGGTGTCCTTGCTCTACTGTAAACCTTCCCAGTGGCTTCCCATTGCACTCTGAGTGCAAACACCCTTTGTGTGGCCATGGGGCCCTGCGTGATCTGGCCTCCGGCTGCCCTTCTGACTCACCTCCTATGACTTCCCTCCTTTCTCCTTCCAGTCCCTGTCGTGCTGTTCAAGCATGTATGCCTCAGGGCTTTTGAGCTCACTGAGCCCTCTGTCTGGACTGTCCTTCCTCTGCATCTTCATGTGGCACCCTTCCTCCCTTCAGTCAGAGCTCTGCCTAAGTGTCACCTCCCCAGAGAGACTTGCCTAACTGAATTCAAAATACCTCCTTTTTCCCCTCAACCTTGATTTTCCTTACCGGTTTTATTTTTCCTTGTGGCACTTATCATTGTCTGCAATTGTATTTTATATTTACTTGTTAATTGTCTCCCACAGTAAAATGTCAGCTCCATGAGTCAGTGATTTGTTTTATTTATACCTGTATCCCCAGAGCTTGGAAGAATGCCTGACATCAATAAATATTAGTTTTAGTAGGATAATGAATGAATAAATACTGCCAACAACTATCACTACTGAAATGTTGAAAAATACGAAACTTTACTGGTTAGGTATAAAACATCTATGGCATATTTCCTTAATTTTAAGATTGTTTTTGCATTTTATTATTTGAAATCAAGTTGCATCTTACAATTGATACCTATTTTTAATATGGTAGTGAAACATCCCATGCTGTTATTAAATAGATTCATCAACATCGCATTCTAGATTACAAATTTAAGCAAGATATTGGGCATGTGGTTGGTAGGGTAACCAGCACGCCTGGTCAAATATTTAATAAAATAGATGCATAGTTTGTTGTTTGGAAGTACTTTGTTTTTCTCCAACTTGGTAGAGGTTTTTGCTGTTTATTCTTTATTATTCTATAAACATTCACAAATTCTTAGGCATTATTTCTGTTGTATGTACACTATAAGTCATACTATAAGTGCCATGTAGATCGTAGTTTTGATTTTTGCAATTGCATTAGCTTTATCAATTTAGCAAAATATGCTGCTGTGTAAATATGTATTTTTGAAATCATATACTATCAAAATCATATGCCGTCTTCCATTTACTAATATTTTTGGAATTCTACATTGATCTTGATCACATTATCTTGTGTTCAGAGTTTACCTGAATATTTTCCAAATGTTGAGCTCTGATGGAAAACATGTAATTTTGCAGCTCTTTTAAAAAGTATGTTTTATGACCCAAAAGTCTTTCTTGGAAGCATTACTTTGGTAGTGTGTTTATAGATGGGAAATATATTAAATATGCGTGTATCTTGTATCTGAGATAGTGCAGCTCTTAATATTTTTGAGCAATAGACATATAGTTAACCTCTCAATAATTTAGTTTTTTCCTTTAACTTTATGCTTTTCCTTTACAGATTACTTATGTTTTGATATCACTTAATAACTTTGAGTATCTTAAGCAAGAAACCCTTTTTGTTTTCAGAATTATAAAGATTATCCATGCATTGTAGAACACTTAGAGAACTCAAAGAAGTCTTGTCACAGTGGCTGTTAGGTGCCTTCCTAATCTCTTCCTTTCTTTATTAATTAGGAAAAACAGCAACAACCACAGTTAGATGGGCGTGCTCCCACCCGCGTAAAGACTGTATCTCCTTGTCACACTGTAGATGGTGATATTCTGGTCAGAAGTGTTGTGTGGTTCTTAGGAGAAATCATCTTAATAGCAAGGGGCTGCCCTGCTTCTTCCCTTTTTCCTCCATCTTGCTGACCTGAAAGGAAATCTGATGGAGAAAGCTCCACAGCCTCACTGGACTGTGAGGCTGAAGGTCATACTGTGAGGCTGGCAGAGTGCTGAACTGGAAGGAGCCTGGGTTATTGATAACTTCGTGGAACCTTCGTACCAGCTCTGGGCTGCTGACCTCCAGACTTTTAAAAAATCTTTAAATTTACTTTTAAATTTTATTTATTTATTTATTTATTTGGTGAGGAAGATTGGCCCTGAGCTAACATCTGTGCCAGTCTTCCTGTATTTTATATGTGGGACACTGCCACAACACGGCTTGATGAGAAGCATGTAGGTCTGTGCCAGAATCTGCTGAAGCGGAGCGTGTGAACTTAACCATTATGCCACCAGGCTGGCCCCAGACTTTTTTTTTTAACGTGGAAAGAAAAATAAACTTCTGTCTTGTTTAAACTATCATTATTTGCAGGCAATAATATGTTTTCCTTCTATGCAGGGATAAAAATTGCCTGTCTTCCTCCAGTCTTTACCTATGTCTGTCTATCTGATACGCACATGTGCACATTCCACACAAACAAACCCACACAGAGCTGAGGCTAAACTGTTTATAGTGGTCTTAACTGTATTTATATATTTTGTCTCAATATTATATTCTCATTTTCTCATATCATTAAAATTATTTTAAAACATTTTCATTTACTTAACATGTGTATATACCATAATTTGTTTATATCACTGTTTTTGGATGACTTTTGTTTTACTATATAGCAGTCTTTTTCACTTATCCTAGGAATATTTTTATTCATATTTTAACTTACTGAGTATATTTTGTGTCAAAAACCCTATTTAAACGCAGCACATGCATTTCATCTCTCACTTCTCCCAGAGCCCTCCCCTCTGAGAAAGATGCCCTGGCTTGGCTGCACCTTGGTTTTTCTATAACTCCTTGCACTTGGCACTTCTACTTTATTTTTTTCTTCCGTGCTTCCCTCATTTGCTCTTGAGGAAGGTCTGGGGCTTGGTCTGATTACTCACTGCATACTTAGTTTGCTCCGCTATCCCAGTCTCTCCATGCAATAGCTCTGTGCTTCTCTGAGCTTGAGTTTCCTTAGCTGTCAGTTAGGTATAACATCGTTTTCCCTCCATTAGTATCTTGAGGATAAATGAGATGGTGCCTGTACATTGCTTAATACAGAACTGATCCCAGGGTCAATACTTGATTGATGACCTGTTGTCTTCAAGTCTTTGCTCAAATGTTATCTTTTCTAGGAAGCCTGTCCTGTGGCTGTATTTAAATTCTAAACAACCCTTACCCATCACTCTTCATCCCTCTTACTCTGTTTTCTGTGTAGCATTGATCACTTCCAACATACTATATGATTAATCTCTTTATTGGTTTATTAGATCTGTTGCACATTATGTTACTTCCCACCAGAGTGGACGCTTCAGTGAAGGCAGGAATGTTCAGTTTTTGCTTACTGCAGTATCCCCAGGCCATAGAAGAGGGCCGGGCCCAGAGTGAGTGCTTAGTAAATATTTGTTGAAGAGTGGTGCTATTAGTCCATTTAGGAAGTATTGAATGGATAAAAACGTTTGAGGAGCAGTTTATATTTTCTCTTTATT